AATTAGTGAGCGCGAGTGATGCTTTCTCATGGCACTGGTATGCTTTGGGCCTGGCCCATGTCGCAACGCGCGATGCAGCCCACCTTCCAGAGCAAAGTGTGTGTTATGCTTCAATGACATCGAATTTTGTTTATAAAATGACATCACGGTCATTTGATTGGTTGGACCAGTTATTGCAGTAGTGCATTTTGGAGACCGAACTCCTTGGAGGCATTAATTTTGAAAAATTCAAAATACGAAGTTTTCATTTCAAAAAATTCTGAAAAATACACATGTATACTAGGGTGTAATATTTTTTTGGAAATGAAGGCGTGCCCCCGGCCTCTGCATCATGATGATGCATGCGGCCATCTTATTAACAATCCACAAAGTATCGTCATAAAAGTCTTACACCTCGCAAACAGAGCAGAACAAAGTAAAAAAGGAAAATTACATGCTGACAAAGATAACCGATACGGTAATAAGAAGGATAAGCTCCCTAGACTCCTATCCTGCTATGCGAGCTACTAGGGTGTAATGTGTGTGTGTGTACAATTTGAGGATAAAATACATTAAATTACGAGCTGCATAGGAGAAACAAAATCATGGACTTGAGAATGAACAACACATATACTAAAAAGTCTTTTTTTTTTGTATTTTGAAGTTTTCAAATTCAGACTCCATTTGGCATTTTCACGTTTCTTCCCTCAAAACAAAAATAATTCGAGTTGACTATTCGAACGATACGAACATTACAGCCGCTCGTTGTTTATGAAATGACATGACGATCACCAGATTGGACTATTCCTTCAGTAACAACAAAAAGACTGGCTAGACTATTCGAACGAGACGGCCTTTTCTTAGAGTAATGACGAGAGAGGCTGTTCAGCAATGGCGGATATCGCAAGGCACAGATGCGTCGAACTCGAGACACGAAGGCGTTGTACGTGTCACCGTCGAACCCTAATAAATTTCGGGCATGCCTTGCTAGCATCCAAACGTACGAAAGCCTCCAGATTCAGTGCACCTTCCAGTAGAACATGTCATAACTTATTCGCAAAAAAAAGAACATATCATAACTTCATAAGCAAATCGAACAGTTTTTGGAGTCCTGTTTGCGGCGGTCACGAGATTGCACTGTTCTATTTTACCCGACCGACAACGGATTAGCCATCTTTGCCGGGGGTTCATTTCATCCAGTCATCTTGCAAAGCCTCTCGAGAACTCAACACGGCATGGGGAAGACTGGCCGCTGCATGCATGAATGATCCATTGCCTCTCTTTTTTACTGTCAGCATCTCATTCTCTACCATCAGAGCTAAAGCATACGAGTTTTACCAACTCACACTCAGTAACACTGCACCCTCGTGGCGGCAACTTCCGTTCCACAGTGATGCTAATGGTGCGAGCGTGCAGGACCCGTCGGGGGCAGACCGGCAAGGAGGTCAACAAGATCCAATGCCGGACGACTATATCCAGAGATCGGACCGGAAGCAAGCAAGCCCACATGACACAGTGCCTCGCCCAAAGCAACGCGGTGCCGCCCCACTCACGACTCACGAGTCACAGGTCAAGACGCGACTCGTGCCGTGTAGTCAGTGAGCTAGTACTATGCAGATGCTAGTGCACAAGAACTGCACACACACAGTGCGTTTCTGTCCTGAACCTCCCGATAACCACATGATAAGGATGCAGCCGATGCCTGGTGATGTTTTTTTCTCGTCTGATTCAGGCCTAATTGCGTAGGGCCGGCGCATTATTTCCATCTTTGCTGGTTTCCGAAGGAAGGAACCTGCTGACGAGTGACGACCCCTCCTGATTCCTGGGACCTGGCCAAAACCTTTCAGCGTCTCCTTTTTGAACGAAGCACCACTTGCCGCCCCCAAACGGCCAAAGTCAGTGACTTTCTGAAATTTTCTCCGTCGGACTTCAGAGCTAGCGAGGAAAAACCCGCCCGTGCCCTGCGAGTCCTGCTGGGAGGAAAGAGACCTGACGTGCCACTTGCGGAAGCAAAAGGCGTTGCCCGAAATAAAAGGGTTTCAGGTAGGAGTTTAGGGTTCCATCTGATCCTATCATCCTATACTAACAAACAGTTCATTGATTTGTATGCACATGGCCTCTCCGTCACTGAGATTGGGCAGGATCTATTGCCTTTTTCTTGGTTATAATCGTGTAGATGAATCATGAATGAATGAATCGTGTCGTTGGGTCTTCGTCTGAACTTATCTGATCAAAAGAGGCGTGCCCACCAAGGAGTGGGACAGAACTGGCCGTCGCCACTAGACTCCTCCTGGATTTTATTCGCGCTCATGTGGAGATATATAATACTGTCACACACGATGCCGATGCAATGGTGACCGTGAACCCCGGCAGCAGTCCACCCACCCACTCACTCGCGATCCAGCCCCGTCACAAAGTAATAAAGGAGGAGGAAATGTACCCTCAAAAGCTGGTTGAAACCATACACCACAGTAGAACACATGAGCACTGCCAGTGGTGTGCCAATGACTCATTGCTTTGGAAAAGCATGAATAATCTCGTTTCACTGGACGTAAACATCGTCGGGTCCATGTGTCATCGGCTGGCCACGGAAATTCGGTACGAGGCCGCGCGTACGCCGAGCAGTTTGGTATGGTAGAGAAACGAAGCGAGTACGGCGGCCATGTTGCTTTCGCCGTGGAAAAAGCCAATGGCAACTCGAGAAATATCCGAGCGTACAAGAGCAATCCAGACCCAATCCACGTCCGTGGGCGGACCGCGCGTGCGAGCGTAGATCCTGACCTAACCCCACGGTGACCGCCGCCGCCGCAGGCGACTAGATTTGCTACCCCCAAGCGGCCGTCCGACGAAGACGCCGGGACAACCCACACGGCCATGGACGGCGCGCACGGACCGGCGGCGAGGCGAGAGAGGCAGATGGCAATGGTGCGTGCGCCCATGTCCGTGCGTGTGTGCGTGAGGGGCACGCGCGGCAGGGCGTCGAGTGGTGGGCGCGCATGGCAACGTCAGTCACGCGTGGGGCGGCGGGCTCGCCCACATTTTCAATTTTCCAGGCGTCGCCGCGAGTGCGCGGCGCGTGCCTGCATGCGCCACGGCGCAGCACGGCTAGGTCCTCCGGCCATGATTCGACCAGCACTTGTAGTACTAGTTGTGCACAGTGGAGAAACAAGAGCGTTGGATCGATCTAGGTCGGGGACGAGGAGGATGGCCTACGCGTACGGGAGCTAGATCCAGAGCGAACTCGCCAGCCCCACGCACCGCCGTCGTGTGGCGCGCCGTGCCGCGCACATGCCAAGGGAAATGGACGGCCCGCATGCACCGCATCCGCCCCGGCCGGCGTCGTAGGACGACCTTTCCCTAGATGCGTATGCATGGGAGACGAGATGAAGATATCTACGAGCTCGCTCCACGCACGTGGCCCTGCCAGTGGCAGCACACGTAGTACAGCATCATTGGTATTTTCGTACGACCGATCTCAACCCTAGATCGGTCGATCCATCCATCGTATTCATTGCTACTGCCACAGACAGGGGCACAGAGAGGGGAGGCAGGCCTGCCGCCCGCCTTGAATGGCGGGCGGGGGTTGGGCTGGGCAGAGGGTTCCTGGCTCTTCCGTATGTGCGGGAGCAACGGACGAGCGAACCGGTCCAGCGACGACGTCGGCATCGGCCGGCCGCTTTCATGAATGGCGGGTCAAGCAAGTTAGGCGGCAGGCCGGCCGCCCCGCCCGGTGCTGCTGACGGTGCCACAGTGCTCCCACTTCCTCGCCACCGTCTCCTTCAAATCCGCAGAGATTTTTCTGGCACCGGCAGAGTATCCTCTCAGACTCACAGGTCTCCCTGCATTGCAGTCAATTCAAGCATTTGGACGGAAACGGGGAAGAAGAAGAAGAAGAATTCAAGCAAAAACAAGCACAGTGACATTGAAGAAGGCCGTCAGGAGCAGCAAGCATTCTGAAGGTTATTACAGGACGACGAATATCAACACCAGTCTCGCTACCATTCCCCATCTGTGATAGTATACATATATGTACATCTACCATATCAAACACACCTAAGAACAACCAACGCCTATAAGGAAAGAAACTTGCAAAACTTAGTAGCTAGCTACCACATCACGGAGTAAAAACTTCTACTACGACCACTACCTCCCGCCGTTCCGGGGAGACGAACACACCCAAACCCTTCCTTCCTGTTACCAGCACAGTAACTGTTTGTAGTAACTATGATGAAGTAGTGGTGACTATCCCGCATTGCCCTGCACCGGCCTCCTCGTCCAGAAGCGCAGAGGTGCGGCAATGGCGGCTCGTTATTTTTTGCTTAAGCTCCTTCCTTCTCCTTGGTGTATAGAACAGAACGGAACGGAAAAACTCTAGAGGTAGATATGGATGGATGGATGTGTATGCTACAGTGGTACCGGCGAGGGAGGCGGGCGGGCGCGCGTTGCTCTGCTTTGCTCTTGCTCAGAACTCCACAATGAGGTTGCCGAAGGGCGACCGGTGCGGGATGCCCTTGCGCCGCTTGGAGGAGCGGTAGCTGTTGGCGGTGGCCGGCGGGGTGGACGGGGAGAAGCTCTGCACCACGCTGCTCTTGTCGCTCCCGCCGCTGGTGATGGTGGACGAGTCGTCCGAGTCCGACGCCGCCGCCTTCTTCAGCTTCAGCTTCATCTTCTTGCCGCCGGCGTGCCTCTTCCGGCCGCGGAACTCGCCGGAGGTCCCAACGATCTGCGCGTCCACACATAAACAACCAAATCACAATGCCGCTCCAGAGCACGCCCAGTCCAGGCGAGCTGAACTGAGCTGAGCTGAAGCAATCTAGCAGAGGCGTTGACCGACCCGGCGGTGCAGAGCACCATTAGTGGGCTACAATACGTACCTTGCATCCGAGGGAGCAGAAGCGGAAGGTGTCGAGGAGGCTGCGCTCGCAGACGTCGCAGGTGTTGGTGACGCCCTTGCCGGGCCTGGGCTGCGGGCGCTCGTTGAGGAACACGACGCGCGCGCTGTTGATGATGTAGGTCTGCACGCCGGTTATGTCCAGCACCTTCTGGATCTCCGACACGCGGATCACGTCGTGGTAGGAGGACCTCCTTATCTGCCAGCAATGGAACACAACCAACGAACATGGTCAGAGAGTATAGGGATGAGATGGAACAGGGGGCGGCTCAAGGAAGGAAGTTAGTTAGGCGGGTTCTTGGATGCGTGTGGGGGAAGAGAGGCCGTTGGGAGCTGGAGGATACACCAACTGCAAATCTAGCAGCTTGGAGAGGGACTTTCGTTGGTGCGCTCCAACGGAAACGAAACAGGGAGCATCTTCTTCCCCGGCCGGCGCGGATGAAGACGAATCCAATGCGAAGGGAGAAAGGAAAGGGAAGAAATGGTATGGTACCTGGATGGCGTGGTGGCCGTGGTGGTAGGCGAGGCACTGGGAGCAGAGGGCGCCGTTGATGCAGTCGAGGCAGTACATGTTGCACTCGCACTTGTGGGCGTCCGCGTGCATCTTGCATTGCCCGAAGAAGCTGGTCGCCAGCAGCGGCTTGAGCCACGGCGGCCACCGCTGGTTCTCGGCCTCGTCGCACTCGCCTCCGCCCTGCCGCATTCCATCCGAAACCACGCCATTAGCCAGAGAACCACCCAATAAAACCAACGAACAGAGCATTTAATCTCACAGAGAAAGAAAAGGTGAACAGGGGAAGCAGAGATTTGGACGCTACCATGTGGCCGCCTCTGGCGGTGTTGATCCTGAGCAGCAGCGGCGCCTCGTCGTGGAATGCCATTTCGGTCCCGAACCAAACACGGCAAGCGGCGGAGGAAGAAGAAGGAGGCGTGGGGAGCGCAGAGGATTTGCTTGGGAGGGAACGAGGAGAAAGGGGGAGGGGGGCTTTGGTGGGAGGAAGCGGAGGCGGAGGAAAGCCGAGGAGGCCTTTGTAGACCGGGAGGAGGGAAAGGTCGCGAGTGTCACAGCACTGGGTAGACAGTGGTGGTGGTGGTGGTAAACCAAACCAGCAGGGGAGGATGCTTTCAGGGGCGCGTTTGTTTCGTAGCGCCCGTGCTTATCCGCTCCCGCCCGGGTCCGGGTCCGTGCCATCACCGGCCAACCCGGCTTGGACTTTTGGGCCCTCCTCTCCTCCATTGCTTCGTGGCGACTCACCCGGTGGCTAGCCGTGTTGTCCTGTCGAGAGGAACTCGCACCGGTGCAACAGTTGCGGCAGGCCATTGGTGGCAGCGGCAGCGGCGGTGCAGGGCGGGGGCACGCGGCCGGCATCAGCACTGACGTCGGGCGTGGGCGGGTGCGGGTCGGGTCGCGTTGCCATCCGATAATAATCCGGCCGACTACGTGTCCTCGTTGATGCTGCTCCCTCGGTTTGTTTTTGTTTATGCGTGGTGCTTCGTGCGGCTTCTTTCCTCGTTCGTCACTCGCTTTGCTCCACCAATGCCGCTCTACGGGAGTGCCTATTTTGGCTGCTAGGGGAGTGGGGGCACAGGTGCCGAGGGAAGCACCCAGACACGTTTTCTCCGCGGAAAAGTTACCGCCACTAACCACGCCACACTACCACTAACCACGCGATTAGCACAGCACGATCGTCAAAGAGGAGGAAAGATAATCACCATGGCGCCTGCTCCGGTGCGTTGAACCCAGTGGACGGGGAGGGATCGGATGCTTGCTCTCGCATTCTGAGGTGGACGCTGTCACGGGCGTAGCTCACTGTTGCGAATATAATAAAGATGCTCTAGGTAATATGGGTGCACCCGGTCTCGGTGCATGTATTCATGACTGAGTTTTCTCCTCCCCCGGAAGAAAAGGAGCGCAAAATTCTCTTCCCCCTCAAACTTTAAGAAAAGATAGGAACATTGTGAACAATTTAAACGTGGGCGTGTAAACATGTTGTAACAGCCCAGGATAGTATCCTAATTTAAAAAATGTTATTTCAGTTTTCATCATCATTGCATCATGCCATCAGCTCATCATGCTTTAATCTTGAAATGAGGTTGAATTAAAACCCCAATATTGTTCAAATACCAACCCTAGCTAAAATGCAACCCAATAAAATGCATACATCTCCGATCTATTTACAAATTGACAGATTAGAAATGATTAGTTCTCTTTAGAACTATACCGTTATTCTTTCAACATGATTAGGGACATACAACATATATTTCCAAAATTTATATTGTCATTTCATTTAATAGTGATTAAATGGCCTATTCTCCCTGTCGGTGTCAAAACCGTCGGATCTCGGGTAGGGGTTCCCGAACTGTGCGTCTAGGCGGATGGTAACAGGAGACAAGGGGCACGATGTTTTTACCCAGGTTCGGGCCCTCTCGATGGAGGTAAAACCCTACTCCTGCTTGATTGATATTGATGATATGGGTAGTACAAGAGTAGATCTACCACGAGATCAAAGAGGCTAAACCCTAGAAGCTAGCCTATGATATGATTGTTATTCGTCCTACGGACTAAAACCCTCCGGTTTATATAGACACCGGAGAGGGTTAGGGTTACACCGAGTCGGTTACAATGGTAGGAGATCTACATATCAGTATCGCCAAGCTTGCCTTCCACGCCAAGAAAAGTCCCATCCGGACACGGGACGAAGTCTTCAATCTTGTATCTTCATAGTCCAGGAGTCTGGCCGATGGTGATAGTTCGGCTATCCGGACACCCCCTAATCCAGGACTCCCTCAGTAGCCCCCGAACCAGGCTTCAATGACGACGAGTCCGGCGCGTAGATTATCTTTGGCATTGTGAGGCGGGTTCTTCTCCAAATTCCATATACTTGTCGAATAGTGTCCGGCTTCTGATAAATGCTGCGCTCCTTGGCTTCCACGCCCAATAATGGCTATCTTCCACGTGTTGAACGAATGCGAAAAGCCAGGGTATTTTTACACTTTCCCCCCCTAGCTGCGCAAATGAGCCGCCTATAAAAAGAGACGAGGATCTAGATCCGAATCACACCATTCCCCTTTCGCAAGCTTTCATCGGAACGCCTCTGACAAAAAATCCATTCCATCATGGACAGTCGACGCTGCTCCTCCTCTCGCGCTCCCAGCCCCCGGCCTGGGGATTGGGAGAGGTGCTCAGTCCCGCATAGCAAGCTAGTGACGCTCCAAACCAAGGGATTTCTTCCCCCAGCCTTCATGGTTCCGGTTCAAACCGGACTCACCACCTATAAGGGCGGAAAGCAAGCGGAGAGTGTCCCCGATCCTTCCAAAGGAGAGCGGGTATGCTTTGTCTCTTATCTGATAAGAGGACTCGGATTTCCAATACATCCGTTTCTCCGGGGGCTCCTGGAGTTCTACGGCCTCCAGCTCCACCACCTTACGCCTGCCTCCATTCTGCACATCGCGAGCTTCATAGCCCTTTGCGAACTGTTTTTGGGCGTCGAGGCTCATTTTGCGTTGTGGAAGAGATTATTCTGCCTCGTACCCCGTTCTCATGAGGGGTCAATATATCAAGTGGGCGGAGCCGAGCTATGGCGCATCGCCGGGACCGGATATCTATCCGAAACCCCAAAGAAGGCGTCCAAAGACTGGCCTTCAGAATGGTTTTATATAGAAGACGCCCCGCTACCGGATCCCGTTCGGACCGGCCTCCCGGAGTTCAGTAATGCTCCCTTGAAGAAACACCTAAGTTGGCATCTACGGAGCCCCCAGAGAGACAGCGACAGGGACGTTCTTTACCTGATGAGCCGAATAAGGTTGCTAGCTCATTCCGGACTGACCATGATCGGTGTCATGGCCACATGCATTATGCGGGGGGTGCAGCCGCTCCAGTATAGGGGCCACCCCATGTGGGATTTCAACGGGGAGGATGATGCCACCTGTCATGGCCGTAAGGGGCCGGGATCGGTCGCCGATCTGGTGAAGATCTTGTCCGCGATGTACAAGGGGGAAGAGGAGGATTTTCTCCGCGTCAGTCCATTGAACGGATTTTCTATGAACAATCCTCGAAGCTGGGTAAGCAGACATTTCCTTCCTTGCACATCCGATCCGTACTCCCATGGTTAGATATCTCATTTTGTGATTTCGGCGCGGGAACTGCGCCGGGCTGTAAAAGATATAAACAGCCCGCCTCCGCAACCCGAGGATCCGGAACGGTTCCTCGATCCGGCCTCCCAAGAGGATCCGGACATATTGGTGGAGCTGATTGATGGGGTATTTCACCAACTAAGCATCGATAATGCCTTGGTCGCCATTACGGTCGATTACCCCGGAATACTTCCAGCCTCACAAGTAACTGAGACCGAAGCCCCAGTACTTTGATAATGACCCATCCGTGCTTATTTTTGATCACCGTATATTAATGGTGTTTCGTCGGGGGTGCCTTCGAGGCGGGAGGCCGAGCCCGCGGCGGCTAGCCAACAAGGGGCAGCACGGCCACGCAGGCTAAAAAGAAGTGCGGTCCGGATTGAATCGCAGCCGCAACGGTAAGGTGTGTCACCATATTCCCGGGATTGATTCCGGGAAGGTATATTAACGCTGGTGCTCCTTTCAGGAAAAAGACCGCTCGCCGGACTATGTCCGGAGAGATGGCCAATCGAGCCTCCGCCAGCCAGGCTCCAATGTCGGGTCCGGAAGCAGAGGTGAACACGAGGCGTGCGTCGGATGCTCCTCCGACAGAGGATGCCGACAGATTGTCCGCCACCAACTCCGAGGTGGAGAGTGCCATGAATCACAGGCGCCACCGGACAGTTCTTCGTGACGCATGTTTCTCCCAAGAGGCATTGAATGCCTTCAATTCGGGAGACACGCACCTCCGTGCCGCTCAAGATGGTCTAGCCAGAGGCACGGAGCAGTATGTAAAGGACATACGGGTGAGGAGATTTGACAGTTATATATGCCAGTAGCCCCCGAGACTTAAAATAGTTAGGAGAACTGATTTAAGGATCATTTGTAATGCAGGATCTTACGGAAAAGAATACCCGGCTATCTCAGGAGCTTGAAGAGTGCAAGGCCCAGCTTGAGGCCACACTAACCGCCACAGGAGGAGCCACAGAGACCCCCTCCGGTAATATACACTTCGAAAGATAAGTAATTTGTGAAGTGTGGCGTGTGTATAAGTCTGACAATAATATTGCAGATGGCGCCGGACTAGATCCGGACAAGCAACATCTCATGCGCTAGTTAAAGGCCGGCGAGAATGTGCTTACAAGGGTGAGGCAAGAGAAAAATAATCTCCAAGATGCCAACACCCAGCTAGGTGAGGAACTAAAGGATGTTCGAGCCCAGCTGTCTGACTCCGTTAAGGAGAATCGACGGCTTCGTCGCGGCATTTATAGTAAGTGCTTGAGTGAGCTTTTTTGAAAAGAAGAGTTCGGCGAGGAAGTCGATTAACAGAAAGATGTCTGTAGGTATGCTCACAGGTCGTCCTGCAGAGGAAATGCCCTGTTCAACGGGTGACCTACTTCCTGAGCTGCTGCAACTGCACGAACGAGTTCGGCAGATGATGAGAGACGTCGCCCAGGCCTTGTGGCCATCCATCTCCCTACCCGAAGGGCGAAGGCCTTGGAGAGATTGCAGAGAGGCTTCAGGGAGCACGGCGGCGCTTCCGGCTATGGAAGATATCGGCCTGCCGTCAAGGCGCCAGGGAGGCCTGGGCCATGGTGAAGACGCGGTACACGAAGGCTGATCCAAACCACATGGCCGAGGTTGAACCTGTGGGGGCCGATGGGAAGGAGATCCCTGTGAGCTTAGTGTATGGCCAAGTAGAGTTGTCCGCAAAGTAATCCCAGTGGGACTGTAAACTAGACAACCTATTAGATGGTATTGAAGAGGA